TACTGTGTGTTTTTCTGTTGTTGCGGTGGTGGACTAAAGCTTCTTCATTTTGAGAAATACGCCTCAATAATAGTTAGAAAATACAAAAAACCACTACACAAATAATAGTTAAAAACACCAGTCTGAAGGGAAAAATGATAAACGGCATCAATAGGTTGGGTAACGGAATCGGCAATCAGTCATTAAAACTAAGAGGGGGACGTGTCCATGAAGGGTGCTGAGCTAAGTGGATCTTTGAGACCGAGGAGCTGCCCAGAGCCCAGTATAAGATAAACGAGGATTATTTGGAGTGAATCATTCAAAGCTACTCCAGTATATATTTTTTTAAAGGAGAAGAAAGAAAGAGCCTGTCAGTTGCATGAAGTACTTTCCTCTCTTTGATGATGACCTTGCTTTTACCCTTAAAGTCGACTTTTGACAACTGACAATATCTCAATAAAGACATGGTCTAATGGTTTGATGACCATTAGAAAAGGCTCTGGGTTTCTCCAGGGGTAGCTCCATAGGCAGAGACCACCCTCACTAACCCTTGATGCAAACCTAGTCATTTTGTTTCTAAGCAGACCTGAAACATGGCAGAAACCCCTCGGTTCAGAGAAGAGCTTCAAAACATTTACACAATCTTAAAAGAAATAATTCTAGTAAAGCTAGTAAAGGATCATTTCAATCGCAGTCATCGAATACAGCATTGTATGTTTTCTCCCTTCAGTTTTTGAACAAAGGAACACTTTCTGTTTTGCAACTGTTTCTTGCAGCTTGAGGAATTTCCCAACTTCTGGTCTAAAGTGGATATTATCTGACGAGTGTCTCAAAGAATTGCAAGTCGCTGATCTTTCTTTAGAAGTGAAAACGTTTAAACAGACTCAGAAAACATTAATTTAATGAATTAAGCATTTCCAAAACTGATGACGAACACTTTCATGGAAAACACCTCACATTCTGGTGTGTTTATGTATCACTTGCGCAGTCAGACAGTGGGTTACGTCTCTGTCGGTAAGTCAGCTGTAAAAACTGAGCATGATTCAGACGTCTGGCTTAGATTAAATTAACAGTTTGGAGTTTTGTGACGTGATCCCTTCTTAAGGACAAAACTCACTAAAAAGTTCATTTCCTTCTTTGCAATTTTCACACTCTGAAAAGTGGGTAGGACTGTGGCCTTCATTCTGCCCCCCGAGCCCAATGTTTGACACCCGTGTCTTATCTTCAGCTACCATTACGGATCAGAGGATGCATGACTTGGGGCTGCTATGATAGATAAGCGAAAATATATGAAAAGATCCAGGAAGGATATTATCATCACCTGTTATTTAACCAGCCGTAAACACGTCATAACTTTATTGTACAGTCCTAAACTATAAAATCACTTCCTTTCAGGGCTGCATATCCTGCTCTGTGCTCACTCTAGGAAATATAAAACCCAGTTTCACACTCACAGCGATGCCCAGAGCTTTCAGGATGTTCATCTTGCACATGGGACATGTGCGGTGGTCCAGCAGCCACGGATCTACGCAGCTCTTATGAAACAAATGTCTGCAAAGAAGAAAAACAATAAAATATGGTGAAATCAGTCGTTCTACTGTGTATCTGAAAACATTAGAAAAATGCTGTGAGGAAAGACATCACACCTGCTTTCACTTAGCGCCGGCACACAAGAATCTGCGCAAACATGCTTTATTATCCCATGAAACTTGGTTTGTAATCTCATACAGTGCGCCGCACAGCCACAGTGTTATGAGGTCAAAACAAATAGTCATTGTAGTCACAACCAAAAATACATTTCCTCTAATCACAAGAAAACAATCTGCCCTGAGCTCAACTCAGCAGCTTCCATCGGCACAAAGTGGTTTTGTGATCACATGAAAACAACTGGCAACAATTTAACCCTTTAAA